ATATATATATATATATATATATATATATATATATATATATATATATATATATTTATTTATATATTATATGCGCGGTATTTATTAGAAAGCGCTTATTAGAAAGCGCTCAATATCAGAGATAGATCTAACATATTTGGTTGGATTGATGTGAGTTTGTGACCCTGGGTTTCACGCTTTTACGATCGCAAAAAGCGTGAAACCCAGGGTCACAAACTCACATCAATCCAATCAAATATATATATATATATATATATTTTTACTTAAATATTTGTGTCTATGTAAATAACATATAACAATAAAATATATTAAAATAATTGTCGGACTTTGTACATTTCGTAGTGTGTAACGTCATTTGTTTACGCTGAGATACGCTTCGAGCAGATATGAACTTTCGAGGGAAATCGGGGAAAATTATAGTTTAAAAGCAGTAAAATCGACCTTGCCATCCAGACGCTCCTCTGTAACTAAACTGGTATAGCACGCCAGGCTATACGAAAGTTCCGTGAAGGTTACAGGTTCGATTTCTATCGGAGGGAACATATTTTCTGTGAAAATTTCTCGGACGTTCAGCCTGGTTAATATTGTTTATTATAAGCAGAGCTTTTACTTAAATATTTGTGTCTATATAAAGAACGTATAACAATGCCATATATGTTTGTATAAAACGAATTTTGTACTCACAGTTTAATTTTCAAAACTATATTTGTTTTAAATATTTGAGCCCGTTTAATGATAAAATTTCCTTTTGTACATGTTACAACATATTTACTTTTCATTATTTAAGATTTACTCATTGATAAGCGAAGTTTCTGTCTGACACAATTTATTCGTGGTGAAACATGTTTTACTAATGTTTGTCTTAATCTCCCTAGCAGAAAAAATATAGCAAATCGTTAAATACAAGACTAAAGTACACAAAAAGACACACGCATATTAATAGAATCCCATGACACTCTCAAAACACAATTTTTAAATAGTTGATCCTATTGAGACGCACACACTCACTCTCACTCACACAAACAAAATCCTCAAGAGAGAAAAATAATAATAATCTTCATTTTTTTTAATCATTTCACCGCAAGCAAGGTAATAATGCCACTAAAACGCAAGGGGTTACAGCGAGTGAAAGAGAATGAGAAGAATGGTAATGGGGAGGATTGAGGAAAGAAAAAAGGGAACAGGGTTCAAGAGGATAGACGGTTAACGATTCATTTAAATCTTTAAAGATTGTAGTTATCAGGGAAGCAAGAAATCGGAAAGGACTTGCACAGAAAAGAAGCTGTTAGAGTAGAAGTGGCGGTTGCATCTAGCTAGTTCAACAGTAAAACGGTGAGACTTAGTTGACAGTCTAGTCGCTTAAAGTCATGCAGACATGCATAGCAGAATCGAATTAAACTAATATTGATATGTATTTTAAAAACGTCAATAAGCTAAAATCTCCCTTGAGCCAAAAACTTTATAACTGACCAATGATGTCTCTATTAAATACCTCTGACAAAAGATAGTTGCTGAGTTAGAGCTCTGAAGACCAAGAGAGCTAAAAGATGATAAGCGACAATTCTATTGGCAACCTACGAGAGTCGGTCTATTCCAAATTAATTTCAATGGCTTAATCGTGACGCCATCTCTCCTCCCCTATGGATTAAATAGTAGGGTATACTGCACTCTCTAGACACACGTACTTCTTAAGTTGTCAACGATCACCACTTCCTCAGAATCCAATCATATACATACATAAATGTATGTATGTGTGTGTGTGTGTGTGTGTGTGTGTAAATGTTTCGTATGTAATTTGTGTGTGTGTGTATGTGTGTACTGGTTCCATGTAGCTTATATAAAATATGTGTGTATATGTGTGTGTGTATATGACTACTTGTGGTGGGATAGTGTGTTGTGTGCGTATGTGTGTGTATGCGTGTATAAGTAAAAATAAGTTTACGAATTCCTCGTAGTAATGAAATATACGCACGCATATATACACGCATGCTGACAGGAACACGCCAAAATAGAAACAGATCCAAGAGCACATAGAGGTCACTAAAACATTAAAAGATTAAATGCCGATAACTACTCGCTGGACAAACCTTAATTGTTTTATGACCCTTCACGCAGAACTCTTCATTGACAATTCTAGAAAGAAAATTCGGATTGCCAACACACAAACAGAATGTCTCATATCGAGAATATTCCACATTGAACATGAAGAAAAATTAATTATTTTTAATAATATGTAAAAATCTCCACTTTCACCTGAAGACGGTTGCGAGACCAGACCAGAAACACGTGCCGTGAAATTATGTAAAACAAAGTATAATATTTTTTCTCAATAAATCCACATTACAACCAAAAACGTTTGCGGCACCCTCTTCTTTTTAATATATATATATATATATATATATATATATATATATATATATATATATATATCTTATAAATTAATTGATTTAAAATATGTTGTTTTTTTTCGCTACATTAGTGTTTCAAAAAATGGAAGCTAAAAGCCACGAATTTAATTTTACAAATAAATTAAAGACATTAGTTCCATTTCATCCTCAAGCGAATTTTGAGTAACTTTTAAAATTACTGGGTTTTAAAGACACAGCTAAAATCATGTTTCCATATATATATATATATATATATATATATATATATATATATATATATATATATATATTACCGTGGGCTTCACCATGTATAAGGCCGGAAAGCCTCTCGAGGTAGAGTTTTACAGAGTAAGAGGAACGGTTTTTGCGGATATATGAAGAAGATAACGGATAACCCTAGACTGGACCAGGTTAAGATTGTAGAGTTCGCGAAAATATCCTCTTGGGAGTCGGTTCTAGAGATCAATTGTTAGCGGGAATAAAACGCTCGAGTGCAACTTACTTTTTACCAATGGAATACGGAAGGACTGGGGGTGAATGGCAAGTCCAAGCTGTGAAGGTTGGAGCTGATGACACTAAGGAAAGTAGTTCTTCTGAGACCTTGCCATAGAATTAACGATAGAGAAGTGAAGGGCTTGGGACATCTTGTTTATGAGAGAGGGATTATAGGGTGGAAAAAATTGTCCCCCACAAGGACGCGGAGACGTTTTTGGATTCTTTCGAAACTGGAAAGTGAGGACTGGGATGCTCCTGCCCAAATATGACGTTCAACGCCTGATCTGACTCCTACCAAAATAGATCGTCTGATTTGCTTTACGGCATATCAACCGCAATGGGTTATTTAATGCCGACAAATTTTTTATTGCTGGTAATATTTTCCTTTCAAAAATCTATTTCAGGTCATATTTTTTCTTCAAAAATGCATAGTTAGTAATATTTATTTTTTTTCAAAAATGTATTGCTGGTAATATTTTTTTACAAAGTATTTCTGTATCTGTCAGAAATTCATACACAGATGTCCTCAAGGACATAAGACACAGTGGATAAAGGCATTGGTTAGATCCAGTGACAGAACCCAAACAGTGTGAGTTCAATACCTGGTTAAGGTGGTGGGGAACTTGGAGAGGGGAATTAACAGGAGATAACTGATAACTAACATCCATTAGACATGGCTCGTGTAACTGGAACAGTCTTCCCCAGTGAGCGAAATAAAGGGTTCAATTCGACATTCCAACCATCTGAAGAAGGCCGGAGCGTACAACGGCCGAAACGTTGTAATAAACATGGCGACAAAGATGAGAACAATAGTCCGAATAAAGTAAAAAGTATTTCTGGTATTAAAACCTATTTTTACACTTTAATAGTGTTTTGACCCCAGATTGGCGGTTAAGAATTTGTCCATAGCTGGGACCCTAACAGATGCTACCACCTCGGATCATGGTCGGCCTGGGAACACGACCAATTAAGAGGTGGTTCCACGCTCCTCAAAACCTCCTGATCAGATGCCTTGCTGTTGGAAGTGATTTATCGTCTTACCCAGGACGCGGATGTAGTTTATCGTCATACCAAAGACGGTGTAAAGATAGCGGAGTCAGGTTCTTATTAGAGCGGTTTAGGGAAGTGGCCATTTTTCCTGTCTCTTTAGCGATGGATCTTAATTTCCACTTGAGGTTTGGGTTACGTTTAAGCCTCAGTAGTGTCTTAGGCCACGGGTTCTTCCTAAGTGAACACGCATTCTATATCATTTAGTTCTTAATTTAATTCTTTTTACATTGAGTGTCTTTTGTGATTTTTATAAGATAAATACAAACGGAGCAAAGGTTTTATCGTAAAAAATCAAATTTTAATGTTGATAGGGATCTGTAAGTTTCACATGATCAAATAGAAAGAAATAGATTTAATTCTATTAGATTAATAATATTTTATTTTACTCATACTTTCATACCTCTTGCGTCTTACTGGCTTTATTGCCTTGCTTGGGGTGAAATGATACAAAATTGATCTTGTAAAATAAATAATCTAAAAACTAATAATGTGTAGCATTTTTGCCGCTACTAAAATTTTAAAATTAGCTTCTTTTTAAAACCAAAAACATTGCCGAATGATTTTCAGAAAGTGTACTGATATGTCCCGGAAAGGGATATATTTGTTTGAAGTAGCAAAGTGGTTGTGGACTACTGTAACCGAGTAGGACAATCTAGCAGATAACCATAATGGACTGGTCCTCGTCGTAGTGGTAGGCAATAGGCGTAGGCAATAGGCGAAAACAATAGGCGTAGGCAATAGGCGAAAACAATAGGCGTAGCCAATAGGCATCGTCGTGTACCTCCACATCAGTCTGTATTTATGGCTGACACCAGCCAATCATATTACTGTGAGAGGGAACCCAGGTGTATGCATATTCATTACATCATATACATTAACAGCGATGTCAAGAGCAAAACCGTTCTTTTGAGACATCGTTTGCTTTTCGGGTCAGAAGTTTAACCTCAGCCAAAATGTTTATTTTAATTTCCTTTTTAATAAATGACACTCGTATATACACTGCCTCATTTATCCACCGTCGTAAAAACATAGTAAATATCCATTAATTATATTTATCTCTTTTCTTTTAAGGTATTTGTGAACCGGTAAAGGATTCTGTGTTTTCAATGGTTTATTATGGTTGCAAACAAGTTTTCTTATGTGAGAAAAGTAAAAACACTTGTGGACACCTGTCGTACCTTAACCATCAATATATAACAAATTATGAATTAAAAGGTAAGGTATACTTATTTTTCTAAGTAAAAACCTGGGTGAAACAATGCTCAATTATTTTCCACACGATAGAAAGGAACTACTTAGTCAAGGCTTGTATTATTTTTTAAAAAAAGTTTTTCAATAAAATAGAAGTTGACAAACTTGCTTAACAGCCACACGCAATAGGTTTCGAATGTTTCAGCGCCGCAAGCCATGAATAAAACTTACAGAATTATATATAATTTTATAAAATATGTATTAAAAAATGAATTTGAGAAGGGGGTTTGTAACAGTTGTTGGCGCGATAATTGGAGTCAGCGAGTCAAGTTCAAATTTCGTGCTTGTCTGTAGTTTTGGAGTAGGGTAGAATGGGATCTCCAGCCTTGGCTGCAAACCAGTCTAAGTGAAAGAAAACTTTGAATTTCGCGTCATTTACAAGTCTACGCAAACCATTCCGTTTTCTTTCCCAAAGAAGGTATGGTAAATCACAGATTAAAAAGTAAATGAATCTGCAAGGAACCATTATCGTCTAAGTCCTGAAAAAGCATAGCATCTAATATTAATAATAAAGTGTGTTTTAATAACTTGGAACGATTTTAAATGTGAATTAAGTTTAAAATCAGTTCAAGTTATTGGAACACTCTTTATTATCAAATTCATGTACACAATAATATTTATTCATATATATAAACTTTAAATTGCTAATTTGTATTAGTTTTATACATACAGGGTATATACATACGAAAATGTTTGACCAATGTGTTATGGGGTCCACCCCTTTTTCATACAAGTGGACTCGCCCAGTGTGTACTTGTACTGCTGCCGGTGAATACCCGGAAGTCGGAAAGATAGAGTGAGTAAGAGAGAGATACACTGATACAGTAAGACAGTGAGAGAGTGAGAGTGTGAGGTAGCCGCTTTGTAGGAGTCACAGTTGCGAGCACGTAGACTCAGAAGGAAGTCCTACTTCGATACTGAATTTCCCAGACTGTATATATATTATTATTGTTACTAACCGCATTTCTGGATCTACTAACTGTATTACCAATTGTATTATTACGTCAATACATTTATTTGCTATATTTCATTCCTGCGTTTGTCATTCATTTGAGACCGGATTTCATCCCGGAATCCACAACATAATGTTAGTTTTAACTTTGGATTTTAACATTGGATTTCAACTTTTAAGTTTTAACTTTGACAGTTCTATATTAGATGCCTTCCCAAAGTTAAGCAAAGTATTAAAAACAGGAGATTTTCGCCAGAAATAAAGAAAAATGTGCTGAACTGCTATGTAATATCACTCGCCCTATATGGCAATGAATGCTGAAAATTTTCGAGGCGGATAAAGAGGAAACTTGAAACAAAAGAGAAGAGGTAATACAGAAGTCAATGAAAGTATTAAGAAACAGGAAAATTTTGTTAGAAACAAAGAAAATAGTGCTGATCTGCTATGTGATATCAATTCTGGTCAATTTCTTCACAGCTGAAGACGAGAATTGAAGCATGAGGAATGTGGTTCTACAGAAGGATGCTGAGAATAAAATGGACGGAACATGTAAGCAACGAGGAAGTTTTAAGGAAAACGGAACTAAAAAAAGCTCACTTCTACTTAGATTAAAAAAGTTGGAATTTTTAGGGCCTGTAATGAGGAAAGATGGCATGGAGTATATGACACTCACAGGACACACTGAGGTCAAAATTGACAGATTGAAACATCGAGTTACCTATCTAACCAGATTGTGTAAAAATTACTTACTTGCTGGCAAAATTTCAAAATTATATTACTTCAACCTCCAGGGAGGCATCACGCAGGCAGTACTTCTCCTTCGAGAGTAGGAGGGGCTGTGTTTATTGCCTGAGGCATCCACAAATGAAGAAGTTCGGAGGAGGCTTGAGCATTTTTTCCATGGTACTGTCGATAAAGACATTTTAAACTTACCTTTTGTCAAATTCGGTAGCGACGTGATCACACTGGAAAAAAAAACACCATAAAATTAATCAGGACGTTGATAAAAACGCAAAAATTGCTAAGAACTACAAAAGACAGGATGTTTTGGATTGTTTGTGCAGTTGTGCAGACGGCAACGAGAAGAGAATCCATATTTCACCCTTTTTGTTTTAATCAGAGATATTTCCTGGCTGTCAGTCGAAAATCCTGTAACTTCCAGAGGCAGGTGTTAACTGGAGCATTTCGTCAGTTTTCTTGGCTGTTTGGTTTTGATAGTCTTTTGTAACTGTCTTGGCAAACTGGCATAGTATTCTCCTTTGATAGTGTAGCCGTTTAGACAATAGTCCATAAAACAATGCCTTTTGCACCCCTCCCAAAAAAAAAACGAGTTCATTATCTTCCCTGCAGATGAAACGATCTTAGCCTCCTTTGGAACAGGTGAGGAGGAATGTTGTCTCTTACTCAAACTGATGAACCTAACACTTATCTAGGAAACTAGCTGGATCAGCCTCAATCAATGTTAGATTTTCCTGTGATGTGATCAACCTGGTGCGCTTTTGATCAGGTCTCGGGCGATGTGGCACCCACCGAGCAGAAACCTTTGTCATGCCAAGTTCGTTGTTCAGCATATTCTCAATTCTCTCACAGAATATGCTAATTACTGGATTACGGTAATGTCGAAAAGGTAGACATTAGTCCGGTCTACACTAAAGACAAAAACATAGACATAGGTCCGATTTACACAAGAATAAAAGTACGTAAGCATTGGTCCAAATTGTAGTTGATTGACAATGGCACATACAAGTTTGGCTTATACTAAAGACAGAAATGTAAACATAAGTTCAATTTAGAGTCGAGTGAAAAAAGAGAAACACAAGTCCTGTTTCCAGTAAAGACAAAAACGTTGACATATGTACAATTTCAGTTGAGTAGATACAGATCCGATTTACCCTCAAGACGAAAAGATAGACATAGATTTAATTTATAGTTGATTGAAAAATGTAGATAAAGGCTGGGTTTGCGATAAAAAACAAAAAAGCTAGACATAGTTTCAATTTGAGTAAAAAAAAAAAAAAAAACGAGACACAGGCCCATTCTTCTCTTCAATTACACATGGCACAGTGGATAAAGGCGTTGGTTAGATCCAGTGACAGGAACCAAAGAGTGTGAGTTCAGTAGCCGGTTAAGGCAGTGGGGAATTTTTAGAGGGGAATTAACAGGAGATAACTGATAACTGACACCCATTAAACATGGCATGTGGAACTAGAACAGTCTACCCCAGTGAGCGAAATAAAGGGTTCAGTTCGAAATTCCAACCAACAGAAGAAGGCCGGAGCGTACAACGGCCGAAGCGTTGTAATAAATATGGCGACAAAGATGAGGACAATAGTCCGAATAATGTAAATAATGTACATAATACCTCATCTCAGAAATATAGTCCCCTATAAACATAATCTGTGTAAATGTATATGTACTAATATGGAAAGGAATGAAGATTTTTTTAATAATATGTGCCTATTATTTATTTTTAGTTACTTCATCCTCCATCTTATTTTTGTTACATTTTATCGCAATGTGCAGGTCGTTTTTAAATTCTACGATCGTTAGGTAAGCTAGATAGATTTGAAATAATGAATTAACTTCCGGCAAAATTAAACTTTGCACCCACCTCAATTGCTGAGAGGAGCCCTTTTGATTAGACGTCATAATCTCATTAGACTTCATTCCAATTTAGTCATATGTGCCGTTCAGTATTAAGACATGTTTTAAGTTGTCCAAATTTATTCGAGAGAGAATTTTTATTATTAATTTTTGATTCGATTTGGTTTCCATATTTTTTGTTGCTTTTTATCGCAACACTAAGGTTATTTCTTTTTAATTTTACGTTCGGAAAGATAAAAAATATAAATTAAAATTCTGAGTAGACGACGGTAATTTCAAGAAGGAAATAAGCATTCGAAATTTTAGGAAATATTGTGAAAAGTATTGTGCATTTTTAAATAAAGAAAAGAAAAAAGAGAAATGGAAAACATGAAAAAACAGGCGAACGAAAAAAAGGAAGAAAGAAAGAATTGAAAAACGTAAATATGAGGACAGAAAAAAGAAAACGGGAAAAATGAAAGAGACAAAGAAGTGAAAGGAAAAAATATGAAAGGGGAAGAAAGGAAAAAGATAAAAAAATAAAAAAAAGACGAAAGCGTGGAAAGGAAAAGAGAAAAGAAGAAAGAGAGAAAAGAGAAAGAAAAGTGTGAAAACGAGAAAGGAGAAAGATACAAAAGAGAAAAAAAAAAAAGCAAAATATGAAACGTGGAGAAGAGAGTGGAAAAAGATGAAAAAAGCAAAAAGCGATAAGTAAAAGATGAAAGAGAGAAAAATAGAAAGGAAATACCACCTTGCAATAAATGAACGCTAGAAAAAACGCTAGAAAAGCAAAAGATGATGGGAAGTGAAAAGAAAGGAAAATATAAGGAGAAGAAAAAAAGAAAAGAAAAAGATGGAAAAGAGAAAAAAAAGATCGTGGAGGAACGAGATAAAGAAAGGAAATGTGGATTAGAAACTGGACCAGCCAAATAATTAATCTCTTAATACCTTTTAACATCATATAATCCGGGGGAGAATCGATTGACCTATATGCCGAGAAATATCGGATCATCAGATCTGACAGCAAGCGTTTCAAACAAACGCCACGTTATGATAACTGTTACTTGATATGTCAAATTGGTCTGAATTCAAATAAATTTTCTTCTTTCACTCTTCTTTTATGTGTAATATGTCTACAAAGCATGGGCAATCAAATTTCTCCACAACTTTCTCTCGTTTTAGCAATGTTTGTCCTTTTGTTATATCTTCTTTCACACATTTGGATAGGTTATTTGCTGCTTTACTCTTCTTCTCTTTCTTTCAGTCTGTCCTGTGAGTACCAAATTCTCTAAGCCCTCTTTCCTCATTATGTACCCTAGAAATATCAACTGTAATTTTCTGGTTCTATGTATGTTTCCTTTTTGTTTCCATTTCACTTCAGACTTCCTCATTGTTCACATGTTCAGGCCATGATATTTTTAGCATCCTTCTGTAGAACCGCATTTCTGTTGCTTCAAGTGTCGTCTGCAGAGAATGTCCGGCATTCACTGGCATACAGATTTTACATATCAGTTCAGTACTTTTTTTTTTGTTTCTAACGAAATTTTCCTGTTTTTTAATATTTTGCTTAGCTTTTGGAAGGTTTCTTTTGCTGTGAGCCTGTCGTCTATTAAAACGCATCCTAGATATTAAATTTTTGTACTTGCTTGATTTTACTTTCTCCAGTTTTTATTTCTCATGTTATGATGTTTGTTGCTGACAAATATACATTCTATCTTCCATGAAAAAATTGTTGGAGGTAAATGCTAGTCAAATATAGAAATTGTTTTTTTTTTTTCATTTATTAATGACATGTCCTGCCAGGATGTAAGCGATCATGACACATCACAGATTCCTTGTTTATTATTTGTGAGCTGCCATCTATTCTTGGACAAAATAATAGAGCGGTTATGTGTTGCATTCTTCACGGTATGGAATTCAGAGTTTTCCTTCTCTTAGACTGGAAGACTAGAGGAGTCCGGTCTGTTAATTAACTCATATCAGGGGTGGGGGCGGGAGAAGAGACAGATTGACCGTTTATGCGAAAGTGAACGCAGCAGTCTACGTTGAAATTTGAACCCGACTCTCTGATTCCACCTTCCGCACTATTATACCTTACACTAGCCGCATATCCAAACAATAATAATAAAAAAGAAAATATGCAATAAAAAATAATAATAAAAATAAATGAAAATAATTAATTCGTAATAAAATAAATAATAAATAAGTATTAAAAATAATAATAGAATAAATGAAAATAATTAATTAGTAATAAAATAAATAATAAGTAATAAATATTAAAAAATAATAATAATAAGAAAAAGTAAATGAAAATAATGCATAATAAAATAAATAATAAATAATTAATAAATAAGTATTATTATTATTATTAATAATAATAATAAAATAAATGAAAATAATTAATGCGTAATAAAATAAATAAGTAATAAATAATCATTAAAAATATTAAATAAGTATTAATAATAATAATAAAATAAATGAAAATAATTAATGCGTAATAAAATAAATAATAAGTAAGTAATAAATAAGTATTAAAAATAATAGTAATAATAAAATAAATGAAAATAATTAATGCGTTATAAAATAAATAATAAGTAAGTAATAAGTATTAAAAATAATAACAATAAAATAAATGAAAATAATTAATAAGTAATAAAATAAATATTAAATAAGTAATAAATAAGTATTAATAATAATAATAATGATAATAATAAAATAAATGAAAATAATTAATAAGTAATAAAATAAGTAAAAAATAAGTAATAAAAATCAATAATACTATTTACATTATTCGGACTGTTGTCCTCATCTTTGTTGCCATGTGTATCACAACGTTTCGGCCGTTATACGCTCCAGCCTTCTTCAGGTGTTTGGAATGTCGATCTGAATTCTTTATTTCGCTCGCTGGGGTAAACTCTTCTAGTTCCACGTGCCTGCCATGTCTAATGGATGTCAGTTATCAGTTAGCTTCTGTTAATTCACCTCTCCAAGTTCTCCACTGCCTTAACCAGGTATTGAACTCACAACTCTTTGGGTCCTGTCATTGCAATATGAGCACTGGTAAAAATGGTTGCTGAAGACAATAAGTTTATAAGTCCTAGAAATTCATACACAGATGTCCTTAAGTGGATAAAGGCGTTGGTTAGATCCAGTGACAGAAGACAAAGAGTTGTGAGTTCAATGCCTGGAGGACTTAGAGAGGTGAATTAACATGGGGATAACTGATAACTGGCATCCAGTCTACCCCAGCGACCGAAATAAAGGGTTTAGTTCGAAATTCCAACCACCTGAAGAACACCGGTCGAAATGTTGTAATAAATATGGCAACAAAGATGAGGACAATAGTCCGAATAATATAAATAGTGTACATAATACTTCATCTCAGAAACATAGACAGGTACCGAAAGGCCGAAACGTTGTAATAAATATGGCAACAAAGATGAAGACAATAGTCCGAATAATGTAAATAGTGTACATAATACCTCTTCTCAGAAATATGGACATATACTGAAAGGCCGAAATGTTGTAATAAATATGGCGACAAAGATGAGGACAATAGTCCGAATAATGTAAATAATGTACATAATACCTCATCCCAGAATTATAGAAAATCAATAATAATAAAAAGAAATTCAAATTATTACTAATAGAAGAAATAATAAATAAGTAATAAATAAAAAATAATAAAAAAGAAATGAACATAATTAATAAGTAAAAAAATAAATAATATATAATAAAATAAGTAATAAAATAAATAATATATAATAAAATAAGTAATAAATAAGTAATAAAAATAATAAAAAGAAATTGAGATAATAAATAAATAATAAACAGATTAAAATAAGTAATAAAAAAATAAATTTCCTTTGAATCTTATGAATATTATACATAATTTGTTTCTATTTTCAGTACCAGAAGAAAGTTGCGTTAGCTTAGAAAGAGGCTGCCTTGCTTTGGAAGACGGTGTTATAGACATTTTGATGCTGTATCCAAAAGGATGGTTGAAATTAAAGTTTCAAGAGGGATTCGTATTGACACATGTGAAAGTTAATGTCAGTGTGCCCGCAGTATTTTGGACCGCTGATATAAGTTTTGACAATGGTCATAAAATACAGGTGACTAAAACTGCCATAGTAGATACCTCCACGAGATCGCCAAAAAAAGAGCATAGTATGATGAAAAAGACGCCAAACTTGACGAAAACAAAATTGTATAGTCTAAATGTTTATGTTATTATTAAGAGGAAAGATCAAAGTATTTTGGGGGTATTTTTTTTTCATTTTTTAATCCTTCCTAGCACGCCCGAAATCTTCGTTAAAAATCTTGTTTTTTTTTTGAGTCAGCAAAATTTACCATTTTTTCCATTTTATAAAAAAACTGGAAATCACACTTTGAAATTTTTTAAAATATCAAATATCATTTTTTGAAAACTTATTTTAAGAAAATCAGAAATTATAATGTTTATTTAAAGTATTTTGAACCAAGCTTAACTTAGCTTCTGCGCCGAGAAGATGTAATTTGAAAATAAAACAAAGCAGGTCATAAACTTTCGCGTCACTTGACAGGTGATGAATGACATATTGACGGATTCCGTGAGGATAATTTGTTCTACAGAAGGAGAAAAGTGAAATAATTTACATTTAAGTAAACAAATTATTTACCTCGTTATTCTTAAGGAAAACTTTCACTGCTCTAATTTTTTTTGTACTTAGCTTTCACCTTTACGTTTACGAAGCTTTATGAAAAATATATTATAAAGAAATTAAAATAAGACTGTTAAGAGTGAGATTAAATTTCATATTTCATAAGAAAGGTATCTAATTAATTTATAGGTACCTTTCTTATGAAATTTTGTCAGAAGTGTACATAAGATACTATAATTTTATGTACATTAATTACATTTTACTGTGTTATTTGTATTTGCATTCATTTTATTATTAATTTTGATATTTCATTTATGGAAAAATGTCATAACTGAGATTAATATAAAAATAATATCATATAGATTTCATAAGATGATACTGATACTTGTAGGTACTCTTTACAGTTGAAGTTGAAAAATCAAATTAACTTTTTCACACGTGTTTCGTAAAAGTAAAGGCTTTAACATTGGAGAACAATGCTTAACTCAAATAAACCAACTTAATTGTATTCTGGTTGGTCTTCCGTACTTTATAATTACAGCCCGATTATAAACAAAATTACATTTCTTAATTACTGCGGATCTTCTGATTACTCAAAATGATACAATTTACAATGCGCTAAAAAAAAAAGATCTATCTTATAAGGAGACTTAGGAAACCCGATGCGGCTTTTAACTAATTTTATAATATTTTAACAACTTAAATGTAAAAATCTATTATAATAAAAAAATAACAAATAATTGTATTAAAAATTCATTTTCATCGAAAAAATTTTTGCTTTCAAAAAATATTGTACATATACATAAAAACAACTAAACGCAAATAAATGCATTTGAAATTAAATAATATCTTTGTTCTATTGAGTTTTGTATGTTACAATTCAGAGCCGATTTTTAGGTAGGGGGTCCAATTAAAGACACACAAAAAAAACATGATTTGCATTCCTCAAAGTCTTGTGCTTTTAACTATTGTAATCACTAAACCCAATGCGATAGAATTTCTAACGTTTTCATAAAATTAGTTATGGGGGTGGTAATAAATATAAAAAAATATTTCTGCCATGACTTTAATAAAAAACAAAACAAAACATATTTATAATAATTTCGATCATCTGTGAATAGTTACTGAAAGTTTCATTAACGTCCGACAATTATTTTTATTTTTGCAAGATTTTCCAAATTAATGTGGGTCATACCAAAAAAAACGTGCTAAAAATTGTCTATGTTATTTTACTAGTTCCGGTGATACAAAGAGAAACAAGGTTTTTTTTAATCAAAATTTAAAATGGTTCTAAAAAGGAGGAAATTTTTTTAAAAATAATTAAAAAACTTTGGTCTTTCCTCTTAATAATAACATAAGCATTTAGACGATAAAATTTTGTTTTCGGCAAGGTTGGCGTCTTTTTCATCAAAATATGCTCTTTTTTTAGCGATTTCTTGAAGGTACCTATATAGCAATTTAAATCATTTTTTTCTTTTCGTTGTACAGAACATGATCTTTCTTAGTACTCGAAACGTTATTTTTAGTGGTTGCACGTGTTGGTGTTAACATCCCAACCTTTTTATTTTCTTAAACTGTTAAATCAATACAACCGGACTAGACCGAGAAGTCTGACTAAATAAAACTCACCCCCCAACAGGAATCGAACCTGTTACCCCATCTTAGTATTAAGGAAGGCACTCCTATAGTATAGGGTGTGCCGTTACCAATTTAATCACGGGGATAAAGCGAACTTCAATTACCTACTTATGGAATGCACATCTCTCGGCGATAAGAGTATTTTCCTTGATGGAAAATGGGGATACAGGTTCGATTCCTGTTGGCATGGGGGAGCACAATAAAAAGAGCGAATGTCAACTTAAACACGTGTATTAACTAAAATAACTTTTATGGTAATAAGAAGTAATACTGGATAAGAAAAATCCATTTGAAAAAGCATGTTATATAAAATTTGTTTTTTCGTTTTTTTTCTATCATCCGTTGAATATATAAAATCCAATAAACAAGAGTTGGGACATCTAATCGGAAAACAGTGTAAATCATTTACAAGGCTTCAGAACCCTCGTGGATACCAACAATTTATATATCACTCCCATCTATTCAACTGATTTTATTTATTTTATTAAATCATTTTTCTCTTTAACATAACAATTTTTATATACACCCTTGTGCAAATTAACAACAGCTTTAGTTTCCTTTCTTTCACCATACGGTCAGTTTTAGACTTACTGGAGTGACAGGGTGTAACCGATTTCTATTTCCTCCCAGATTAGGTCGTTTGCAGTGATGTAAGGTAATATGAATCTGTTTTCGGGGTGTATGATGAAATTTGTTTGGCCTTAAAAAATATTGCGTCATTCGTGATTGCATTATATTTTTATCACACCAGACACTATTGCCTCGACCGTCGATTAGTTGTCCTACAGTCGTTGTTTGTGATAGACATTACTCCAAGGAATCGTACGAAAATTGTAACGCTGTACGAACACACTGGCAAGCCTTACCATTGAGCAAATCAAGGTACTATAGATTGGCCCGGAAACTCTCCTGATTTAAATTAAATCGAGAATCTGTGGCCAGCATTCTCTTCATTATCTCCATATTCCCGTAAATTGACCAGCTGGTTTTCTTCACAAGAAATCCAAAATAATAATAGCTTTAAAAACTGCAGACGATTATCGCAGAAAAAGGCGCATCTTAATCTTAGACGATTTTGCTAATTGGCCATATTTACTTTATATATTCAAAGTCTTATTAGATATCATTATGCAAAGACTACCAGTATAACTCATCTTCAACCGGATATTTCGTTACTGGGCATGTTTGTCGTTCAATCGGAGCATATTAAGCTGAAAGTCAGCCCACCCGAAAATCAATATTAGTAACAACAATTGGGTGCAAATGAGGTACATCCCCAAATGAGGGGTTAACAATTTGAATGGGGGTTGGCTCTGAAAAGGTCCATTTTTGCGTTCTCAATCTTGTTTCAGCCTCACACGCAGCTGCAGCTGAAGAGGCGTTTCTGTTCAGCCGTTGAGTCCTTTGATCAGCAGTTTCAGCTTCGCGCACAGCAGAAGTTGAAGAGGCGTTTCTCTTCAGCCGTTGAGTCCTTTGATCATCATTTTCAGCCTAGCGCGCAGAAGTGTTCAGGTATACTCTTCTGGAAAGACGATGGCTACGTTGACCTTCGGTCTCAGTGGCTCTGATTGAAGCATTCCGAGAGGCATTTAGAGACAGGTGAACTGAAAGTTCTAAAGACGATTCGTTATCTCTTATTCGCATGGCGGACCTGGCGGTTTTGCGACCTAGGCAAGTTCTTTTCTTTGGTGGCATGTCTTAGGCAAGTATGAATTGTCAAGTGGAGTGCGTGGGAAAATGCCAGATGTGAACGCTGAAAAGCTACAGGAATCACTAAGCTCGAATATCTTTAGGAAACGTTGGAAAAATAAATGTTGAGTAATAAAAAAGTAAGCTTACTTATTACTACGCTGAATGCAATGTAAAAACTGGCAGGGCAATAAAACAATTTAAATTGGGAACGGCTATAAACGACAATGAAAGCAACGCCTTAAACGTGGTAGTAGGCTTTATTCAACGGAAAATGTAGCTCTACTTGAGAGAGATTGGACGAAGAGAAGGTGAATGTGTAAGCAGGGTTGGACGTATGGAAGTAGAAAATGAATTACGAAATTAAGCGGTAGCAATGAGCTTAGGACTGCGTAGGATACGGCGACATTTGATTGGACGTGTAAAGGAGCTTTGTGCAGTCAATAGGCAACTCGAACAGGTGTCGCGTTCCGCAGGTCATGCGCATGCATGTGCATCAGCATGTGGCACATCGCGTGACACAGCGCGTGTTGCAGGGCCAGACGTACACGTGTTGCTGCACGCGCTAATTGTCAAGGTCAGCAGCAACCGCTGGACAACGTGTAAAGGTGTGAATCACACCCACACAGCATGAGCTAGGATTGGAAAGTTATGTGTGTAAAAGTAAATTAAATTTTTCCTTTGATTTTTGCGCAAAGTGTAAAAAAATAATCAGTATTTCGATTTTTCACCTTCAAGTTTGTAATTTTTTTCCAGACAATTTGGACTCAAAACCGGGAATGAAGAATTATCTATCAAACAAAAAAAAAAAAAAAAAAAAAATCATCGAAATCGGATGAAAACCGTGGAAACGCGTAAACAACATCCGATCACACACACATACATACACACACACACATTTTGAGAATTATAGCTATAGATAATTAGAGTATTGGGGTAATCAACGTAAATCCCCAAATCACTGGGGCTTAGGTAAAAACAAAGGCTTTGTTTCTTTGTCAAATGTAATTTAGATCATTATTTTTGCGACCACACATATTTCTATTCATTTTATTTTTTTAAAAGATAAATTTTAATGCGTTTCGTGTTTAATTTTCTTCTCTGCCATTCAACCTACTCTCTGGAGAATTTTAATAATTATCATCCAATTAATAGTGTCTCCAAATCACCATCCTGTAATTTCATCCATTTAAACGTTTAAACATGGCCAACGCTCTTTTCTATGAAAACAGCAAGCTCAATTCACTTCCCGCAACGAGAACCTTCACCCTATCCGCGCCTCCATTGCCATTATATTCTAATTAAGTTAGCCTAAAATAAATGAAAATGATTATATATGCTTTAGTGTATTGCTAAATGATTTCTCTAAAAATGTTTCTAAATATTTTTGAACATTCAGATATCGCCAAAGAGTGCGTCGTCTATCGCGTTACCATCTGGAGTAATTGACAGCAGTATATCTGTAAACATTTCGGTAAATTTTAAAAAGAAGAAATTTAAACATCCAGCATTGATTTCTTTTTATGGTACTACTGGTAAGTATTCATTAGTATATCATATGGGTAAAACATGTTACAAAGAAACAAACATCTGTCTGTCTATTTGTCTATTTCAGACGTTTCATATCAGTTCACTGGATACTCGTGTTTGAAATAGACGCCTTATTTTCTTTATTTTTCTTATACAGTGTGCATAACTTCAACTAGCCAGCTCACTCAAAAAAAAACAAAAAAAAAACAATAAAGAAAATATGTTCACCGACAGAATTCGCACCTGCGTCCTCCTTTGTAGGAGAAGTCAGGTTTTTTTTTTTTTTTTTATCCGACGAGCTTTAGCAGTCTCGGCCACAGAGCTTCACAGGCAAGAAAAGTTCTACTTTCCTTTTTGAAGAATGCCCACACCCTTTATCAAATTTTCTCGAAAAGTACATCATCCTTATTAAGTTTTCTCGAATCCTCACACCGGTAGCCTTAATACATAGTTAAAAAAAAAAAAAAAAAAAAAAAAAAAAAAAAAAAAGGCGTCTGTTTTAAAGACGGGTATCCACTGAAAATAACGTTTGAAGTAATAAAAATATCTCTGAATCTATCGCAGTTTATTCATATCTATCTAATTACGAGGGACGCACCGTAAGTAATACTTTATATTTATTTCTACATAAACGACAACAGATACAAATAGCACAATGAATAGAACAAATTTTCAATAATAAATGTTTATTTTTCTACTGAGTTAATACAATTCACTATGACATTTCACCAGTAATGAAAATAGTCTGCTCTTAAAATCTTTTTATACTCATTATCTATCTATCTATCTATCTATCTATCTATCTATCTATCTATCTATCTATCTATCTATCTATCAGTTTGTTCAGATCTATTTATCTATCTATCTCTGGTTATTTTTCTTTCTTTCTTTCTTTCTTTCTTTCTTTCTTTCTTTCTTTCTTTCTCAACCTCTTCACATATGCCAATATCTCTGTATTAAACAATCATTGTTATTATCTAAGTTTGTTCAGATCTATCTATCTATCTATCTATCTATCTATCTATCTATCTATCTATCTATCTATCTATCTATCTATCTATCTATCTATCTATCCCAGTCTCTTCATTTCTATCTATTTATCTATGCATCTAGCTATCTATCTCAGTCTGTTCATATATCCTGGTTGTGAAAGCTTTTTGATTGGTTGGTCGAAATATGGCTTTGTGGTCTGGCGATTCTTGATTTTTAGATAAATCTTTAGAGAAATAGTGAAATTTTGTTGGTCTCCTTATTTATTATTATTTATTCATTTTCTATCACGACAGCTTCATCTTTCAAAAACGTATTAAGAAACAGAAAAATATTGTTCGAAACAAAGAAACAAGTACTGAACAGTTATGTAATATCTTCCTATATGGCTGTAAATGCTGGAAAATTTTTCACAAAGATGAAGAAGAGACTTGAAGCGATAGAAATGTGGTTCTACAGAAGGATACCATGAACCGAACATGTGAGCAATGACGAATTTCTAGAGACAATGGCACCCGAAAGGAAACTTTTACTTTATATCAGGAAGCGACAGTTGAAATTTCTGGGCCACATAATGAGGAAAGAGGGCTTGGAAAATTTGATACTCACAGAACAGATTGAAGGGAAGAGAAGAAAACAAGAAGAAGAAGAAGGAAAAGAAAATTTCAATGATCATATGGAAGTACGTAACAAAGTTCGAAGAATATAATCATGAAAAGTATCAATTTTTCACGATCTCTTTCAATCATTACTCTTCACAGCTTCCTCACTTTTGGATCTTTTAGTGTACTTTTTTGTCCCTGTCATCCTTTCATGCAAACTCGTTGAGTAGGTTACTTGTTGTCTCCCCCTGTTTCTCTTGCCTTCAGTATGTCTTGTGAGTGTTAAATTCTCCAGATCCTCTTTTCTCGTGCTTCCCAGAAATATCAACTATCCATATCTGATTGTAATTATAAGTTTCTTTGTTGTTCATATTCTCATTAAAACTTCCTTATTGCTCACATGTTCTGTCCATGGTATTCTTAGAGTTTGTAGAACCATATTTCTGTCGCTTCAAGTCTTTTCGTCTTGACATCAATATATATCAGTGTTAGATTCACCAAGCCTTCTTTCCTCATTATTTGTCTGCCAAAATTTTCAGCTGTTTCATTCCGACTGTATATATAAGTTTCCTTGTTTCTATTTTTCACGAAAACTTTGGCTCACATGTTCTCTTCATGATGTTCTTAGCAATCTGCTACACAGAGGATTTTTCTAATTACAAACATTTTACAATATTCAGTAGTAATTAATAATAATAATAGTAATAATTCCATGATAAAGAGTGAATTATTCTGACCATAGTTAAAAAAAATACTTGAAGATATTTTTCTATGTCTGTATTAGGAAAAATATTGGAAAAATATCGTTACTAACAAAGAAAAAAAATCTGAAATGCTATGTAATATTTCATTCTGGACAGTCCTCCATGTTAGAACTTACGGTTACATCTAGCCATTTCAAGTATAAAATCATGAGACCTAGCGGCCAGTCTAGTACTGGGCTCAAATTCATAAAATCAAGATACCAAAGAGGAAAGCTCTTCAGAACAATTACCATGAAAATATTTATAGAAAAGGAGTCTATTTTTTATTATGCAAACTAGGTTTAGATTATTTAGATTCTGGAACGCATATTTTTTTGTGTCTTCGGATTTCTGTGTCCAATTTTCCGCCGCTTGTTACTACTATAATAATTAGCTTGATTCGCAATGTTTATTTTTTTTTCTCGTTTTTTTTTTACATTCATTTTAATTGTTAAACAAACAAAAATTCATTTTAAACAATTCAAAAATTAATTTTAAACCAAAAAAAAAAAAAAAAAAAAAAAAAAAGGAAGCTAAAATCAAATAAAAATAATCTTATAACTAAATTTGGGGTATTTTTCTTTCAGACCTGATCAAATGCAATATCAAAGGATCATTAATACCTACCATTGGGAATCCTATAGAAGAGTGTTTGTCAAGGGATATGAAAATGCAGCAAATGTATAAGAGTAATCAAGCTGAGTTGATTATGTGTAAGTAGACATAATTTTATTCGTCATAAATTACCTTAATTCCCCATGTATAATACGCCTTCATCCATAATACGCACCCCTAAAATTGTGCTGAAAGTGTGGGAAAATGCTTCTACTCACGCATAATACGCATCCTTCGTTTAGTAATCAAACTCTATAAATTGTACCTCTCCAATTTCATTATGGCCAGCGTTTCCTATTCTTTTTAAAAAAATGATTTTAAACATAGAATAATATTATTATAATTTAGTTTTATGATAATTCTTATTTTATTGTACACTAGCAGCATGGCCCGGCGTTGCCCGTGCTTGATTCAAAAATCGTACGACTCATACAGCAATCGCTATCACTTGACTTAAAATATTTTTGCCCTTCCTTGCCTTTAAAGGAGTGCCTTTTGCCGTGCTGATGTTGCTACATGCCTTACTTCTTGCCTATCTCACACTGAGAATTTTTCTAAGCTCTATACTAAACATTAAATCTTTTACGAAAAAAGAACTAAAGAAAATGAACGCAAAACAATCAGCTTTAAAAAAGGACTCGTAACTGGAAAAACCGAATGAAATAAGAATGTTAACGACAAATACTTTTTCACACCCAACCCAGTTTCCTGAAATATTGAGACTGGTCATACTACTTGGGCGGGGTTGTTGTTGCCCTTGTTTTGTTAACCCGGTATTTTGGAAACCATACATTGATCCGATTTTAAGTTCAAATAAAAAGAGCTCAAAAGTGTTTAACAACGCGACGTCAACTGCACAGAGTCCAAAATGAGGTGAAAAGCTTAGATGTACTGGGCCGCGTAGTGCAGGCGAGACAGTCAACTTAAAACCCCCAAAATCCGTATCACCTGTGAGTTAATCGGTTTTTGACAAAGTTTGAGTCCCAAATAAAAAATCGGGCTCTGGCATGACACAATGACGTAAATTGAAAAATCGGATCTAAGATGCGGCCTGGGAGAAAGAACAAAGTTTAAAGAAGTGGGAAATGGACTGCTGAGGTCATGGTCAACACGGAGGTTTGTATCGATTTTTTGAGTCAGGACGGGTCACACGGCATTCTATGCAAGGCACCTCTAACTGGGCCGAGTAGGAATTTCTGGTTGAATTGTAAAGAACGCCCGAAATTTTAGAATGTAATCCGCCCAAATACCGGAGTACCAGCCGATTTACCAATTTTTTGAAAGCCTGAGTCCAAATCTGTCTCCTTTGCGAATTGACGCCGTAAATGTCGGAAGTTGAATCGACATTTGACGTTAATTGCAGCCTTGCAGCCTGACAGCTGATGGCATGTTCGAACCGGAGCTTTTTATCGATTTTTTTGCTGCACGAAGGGGTCTCGAACGCATTTTTGAAAGGGCCCGTAATCTGGTCGAGGTCATTCATTTCTGTACATATGGTATGGTGATGTGAGGAGAGACAATTGATGCTTGTAACTATACATTAGTTGGCGATGAGTTCAATACTTCACAGTAATGCGGTAAAGGGGAGCAAGTGCTTATCCCAAGGATGCATTTGTATCCATCAGATGCCGATGTACCCTTCACTTTCAGAAGATCCCCGTTCCCATTCGCACCCTGTTTTGCTATGACAAAAACTAAGGCCAAGGACAAAAACTGTCTGTCACTGGTGTACACTATGAGGAGCAGTGCTTCTCATACGGCCAACTTTACGTAGCCTGCTCTCGAGTCGGCAGGCGCGATGATGTGTTCCTTTATTAACCCTCACAAAAAGCTGAAAATGTGGTCCACACTGAAGTCCTCAGCCAGTCCTCAGCAAACTCCATTCCATTTTTCCTTTCCATGCAAGAAAATTTCTAGGTGCACAACAAGTTGGACGATTGCTGGGAAGCGTTCGTGGATGGGGAAGCTGAATATGTGCCAAGGGCCCTCTGTGCTGCTAATGACGCGCCCTGCAAGGAAGTCCTGGATTTCGTCTACGGAACCTTCCTGCCTAATACCAAACATTGAAGCATCAGTCCCTTTGTTGATGTACTTGCATACATACTTGATAGAGCGAACTGAATGGCAATATTCGACATTGTTGTGCGCATTGAACGCTTTTGTTAGCAGGGGACAGTATGGCACTCCCATCTGTTATCTACTTGGTGGCCCTTTACCACGGCTGTAAATCCTCCCTCAACGGGACTCCTTCGCCGGTACAGTGGATAACCATCGCTCCCTGTAATGGTTTCTCTCACAAAATCTCGTGGGTACTACCGGGTGCATTTGCCGTCGCTGTTGTGACAGCTGGTGTAATTGTAATGCGACCCGCAGGGACCATGAATCATGTTGGTTGTCATATTTCGTACAATTTAGTGTCAGCCGACGGATCAGGAATTTCAGCAGAAATAAGATGATCGATTTCTGTGGCCTCAATCTTGTCGCACAGCCAAATTAGTATATGTGCGTGAGGCAGGCCGCGTTTCTGCCACTCAATAGTGTGCATGCGACAGAAAACAGCCCCCAAAACCTGGCCCTTTGTAATCACATCCATTATCTTTCCCAACTTCAGATGGTAAACGCGCGCAGTGAGGTCTGGACGGTCGTAGGCCGATTGCCCTGGCATAAGTTCTTTAGTAATTGCGTACCATTTTGGGTTACACGGCGTCAAGCTCCCTGCTGCATATGCAGTTCGGCTCTAACGCACGTGATGCCGGCGATGAGAATGCAAGGAGCTGCAATGAAGCGCTTGCTCGTTTGGTTTGTGCGACAACGAAAAGCCGCTAACCGTTTGCCGGCATTAGCTTTGAAATGGATTGGGAGGAAGCCCTGATGTTTTAGCGCAAAAACTCCTCGTCAGGTCTGGGATGCGGAGAAAAGAATTAGAAAATGGACTGCTGAGGGCGGAACCATTTTCACTCAGCACGTATGCGGGTTTTTTTTTTTTAGTAAAGACGCGAATAAAGGAAGTGCTTATTTTGGTAAGATGCGACGATTAAAGCAAAAGTGTTGACAAAGTCGAATATGTCATTTGTGGCTCAAAGTCAGACTTGGTAGCAGGGATAAAAAAGCCGAATTTCAATGGCCCTGCACCCATTCCAGAATTTGAGGTCAAATGTTTTCTTCCACCGCACGCACTGACCTATTTCTTCCCGCGCATAGCGTGACCTTAAATTAATCTGCATTTAGGAAATACACAATCGGAAAAACATTTTTAAGGGTTGACCGATTGTCGATTTGCACTCTGTTTGGGGGGGGGCGCTCAGAGTTGAAACTTCACATGGTGACTCCCAATGCGGTTCAGGCGCAATCTGGGCGTATCGGTTTTTGGGTTTTATCGATTTTCTGCGCTGTTTAGGGGTCCGTGGTCATGAAACTTCTGAACAACATTTCTAATGGTAGACTCTAAGAGGGTGTCAAATTTGGTTGAAATGCGATCATTCCTTCTGTAAGCAGATTTTTTCGATTATCGATTTTTTCGGAACCTGAGTCCGAACCCAAAAATCGGGCTCCGTCATATCCTTACAGCAGCCATTTGCAAACTTGTGGTGAAAACCGCATCGAAATCGGGTGAGAAATGCGGCCTGAGCGAAATAACAACACCCACGACAGACACAGACAGACAACATGAGAAATATAGATAGTAGATTTGTAAGTATTGTTACAGTGGAGTAATGGATAGCGGCTCGAGTTCGAATTCCAGTCGAATCCATTACATTCACTTACGTGCTAATACCCTCGGGAAAGATATGAATCCTCTTCTTCTTCTCCCCAGCTATGGGTAAATAGCAGGACAGACCGGGTTCTATAGCTTTGGATGGCAACTGGGCACCGCAGAAATAAATGGCAACCTACTGCGGGAAAAATCTACCTCGTCTCGGCGTGTATCATCGCCTAAACGTGTATCACTCCTGGCAAATAATTGACTGACTGAAGTGTTCTTACGTACATATGATTATATTCGACGTCCTTATGGGGTCGCAGTCGCCGAATGTTAGTATCAAATTGTCGTGTTTGTGGTGAGTAGTCATTTTGCAACTGAAATCGACCTATGAAACGGCAATTTTTAAAATATTTTTTGTAGCTGTGCATAATACGCACCCCTAATTTTGCTTATTCTTTTTTTAGTATTATACATGGGGATTACGGTAATATCGTATCTTATGAATATGTAGTATTGTATTTCTTATGCTGGTATTTCATTTACCTCTGTTTGAAATACAATTGAATTCCAATGATAAAGGGCGAAAAATACAAGTCATTGTCTGGTGGTAGTACTGCCATATGAAAAAGTCAATAGAAACATATAAGTTCATCTGATTATATGGAGGTGGATTGCTAAAAAAAGCCCCCAAAATTATAAAACAAATCAAGTTTTAAACCAGGCAGAATAATCGAACTGGTATCAAAATGAAGTAAATTTATTTATCTTTAAAATTCAAAGAGTTAGATTATAGTTAATTTCTCAGTCCTATAGATCAATTTAAATAAATATAGAATAATAAATCTGGTATTAAAATAGAGTAAATTTATTTTTCTTTAAAATTACAAAACTGGTTTTTAAGTAATTTATCAATCTTATAAAACAAATTTTAAAACCAGATGGAATAATGAAATTGTTATTAACATGAAATAATTTTATTTCTCTTTGAAATGACAAGAACTGGTTCATACGTTCTCAAATATTTAAAAGATTTATAAAAACCGGATAGAATAACGAATAAAGTATGAAAATTAAATAAATTTATTTTTGATTGAAATTACAAGAGTGAGTTTACAAGTTTCAATGCTATAAGAAGAAAATTCGATCACATAATGAAACTCGTATTAAAGTGAAATAAATTTATTGGTTTATAGGTTGACTAATAAGTAAGATTTTCAATCCTATAAAACAAATCCTAAAGCAGACAGAATAATATAACTGGTATCAAAATGAAGTTAATTTATTTCTTTTCAAAATTATGAGGGCTGATTGATAAGTTCTTCAATCGTATAAAATTAATTTTAGATCAGATAGAATAATGAAACTGGTATCAAAAGGAAGTAATTATATTTCCCT